CGTATATAAACGCGTTATGCTTAAATAAAATAATGATTTTGTAAAAAAATGACGCATATATATATATATATATATATATATATATATATGAGACGTTAATAAATTCGCAAATCAATATTCTTTATTTCAATTCAAATTCATGCTTGAAATTTGATAATTAGTTTAGAAACGAAAAGTGTAATGTCGTAACGTGTAATAGTAATTAATCTTAAATGCCATTTAAGAAATTTAAACTCATCCTATATTTAAAAAATACTCAGGAAGGTATGAATAGACGAATCAAATTTCTTGGATCTCTTATCAAATTAACATTTTTTTTCTTAATTGTGTGCAACCGTAACTTTTTCTCGAACATGTTTCTTTTTTTCTTTTTTTTTTCAACAGTGAGAGACGTCGTAGGGAAGGGAAATGAAAAGAGAGGGAATCCATCCACGCAAGGCTAATTTAAATACATTAGGGCGTACTCGATTTGCAACGCAGGAACGAGGATATATACTCAACGGGATACCTTGAATCTTTTTCAAGAAAGAAAATAAAGATGGAGAAAGAATAAGATCCGATTACGAGAGCGTTGCTGTTAATTAGCGAATTCTATGTCTATTTTATTTCTCGATAATCTTCTCTTAGGTTATAAACGTGCCAACCACAACAAACTCGAGAACAAGCTCGATAATTATTATTAAAGAAACGTTCATTCTCCCCTTGACTTTTCGAGATTTCAACGATTAAGCAATTCCCTCTTCTACGTTTGATACTAACTTACGTCATTTGTTAACATTTTTAAACATTCGATTTTATTGAAATTTATTACGATTCGTCTCGATGTTTTATTAAATTCTTGATAATAATCTCTTTTTTTTTTTTAAATTATTAAATATAATAATATAATTAATAACTCTCTAACTAATTAGAAAAATAAACGGAATGAAATGTAAGATTTGTTGAATTTTAAATATACTTTTATAAGTAGAGAGAGAGAGAGAGAGATATAATTTTATTTAATATAATAATAATAATTTATGAAAAACAAATTGAATTATATGATTCGTCGAGTATTTACTATCTCTCGATAAATATTGTCTGTAAATAATAATAATTCAATTAAAAATAGATGCGTAAAACGGTATGCAATCCTAATTGAATTTAGACCTTCATCTTTCCATTTAATCACAAACTTTTGTCATTTATTAATATAAAAAAAAATTAAAAAGAAAACTGAAGACCCCACATAAGGTAATATAAAACGCAGATCCTTCGTAAAATATATATTAAAATCTTTATAAAAATTCAAGACAAAAAAAAAGCTCGTCAAATCAATCATATTTATACTGCCATTTAGACATGTTTATACCGAAATAATGACAAAAGTTATTACATAAGATTACAAATAGCATCTATTTGGTTAAACGTCAAAATCAAACTAATTTTAACTCGTGTATACTTCAATATGATGAACATTTCATCGTGATAGCCTTTTAGCTTTAGTTTGATTGTGTAGAGATTCTAAGGTAACGAACGATCGCATTTATCATACAGCAATGGCAATTGGTTGAGATTGCGAGATAGACAAGTACAGAGAAACGACCTCAAGATAGTCCAGAAGGAAAATGATTTTGCAAGCAAGGCCTTCCTTCATACTTACTTCAAGATCCTAGTACCTAGCATGAACACCACCTAACACAACAACAACAACAACAACAACAACAGCAACCAGCGCACGTACTTAAAGGAATATTAATTAGGCTTCTCTCTGTGCGATGATCTTTAACCTGGGGTTTCCTTCCAAACAGTTCTACTCCGCGTATTCACGTCTCTTCTTTTATCTTGACTTGTCTTGTCTTGTCTTGTCTGGTCTTTTCTCTATTTCGATTCCATGCTTGGCCGCCGTGCTGCACGAATGCGTCTTTGATTGATATCCATCGAGTCCAGTTAACAGATTACGAAACATAATTCACGTTTCGAACATAGATTTACCAAACGTGATCTTCTAACTCACATACTTTTCTTTTCAATAAAATCATTTACGTGTTCATGGTCATAAATAAATATTGCTTCGAATTTCTAGAATTGCGTGCAAGAATGTATTTTTTTTTCTTACCTAAACGAAATTAATTATCCGAAATTTAATTATTATAGACATAAAATATTTTAGAGAAATATATAATATAAAACTCAGAAATCATAGTCATGCGAAAGTTTTTCTATGAAAATAAACTATAAGAACTTTCTGAGTTTACAAAATTTCTATGGAAATTATATGGGGAGGGGAGTCAGGAGCATGGAAATTAAATTATATTACATAGAAACAATTTATAGAAATTTATGAAAAATCATAAAGTATTTGCACGCATTCCAAAATTTTATATATTCATTTTTATGAAATTTTAATCGCGACTATTCATTCAATTCGGTTTAATAAATTTGTGTATAAAAAATAAAGAAAAAGGTTAGTGCATATATATATATATATATATATATAATGTGTTTTGTTGGATAAATATAAGTAAAACGTGCCTTCCTAAATTTATTTACGGTTGAATCGATCGTATTAACAAAATCTTGAATTTATTTTATTCACATATTCTGTACAAGCATATTTTACAGAAAATCTCATGTTTATTATCTAAACGCTACTGTGTGTTCGGTTACTTGTACTGAACATTTATAATTATACTTTGCGTATTGCGTTTGGATATTTCCGGATTGTAGAGCATATATCATGTATATGTGTATGTATATAATATTACTTCTCATTATTAATATTATAATATTATTATTATTATTATTATTACTTTATTTCCGAAATACCCAAACATAAGGAAGGGATTCACCGACACCAAAATCGTAAAATATAGATTACTCGATTCGCGTAGGTTCTTGAACGATTCACTAAATTGTATGAAATAAATAACACATGTGGATATATAATACGTTATTCAATTAGAAAAACGTAAAACATCGTTATATGTGTATATTGTTCTAATAAATTCTTTCTAAACTTCAAATCGCAATCATCGGATTACATTAAAAATCGATATTCGATATAATCGATCCGTTATTAATCTCTTTAGGAGCAAATTTTCACATTTAATTAATAACAAAGATATTTATTTATAATAAATAAGGAAAGTAAAATATAAAACGATTAATTTTAAATTTAATTATTTCCTTCTCAAATGTAATTCAAAATACAAAAAAGTTCATAATAAATTAAATTAAATTTATATATATCTCACAGGGCTCCTGAAAAGATTAAAATTTGCAAAGGAAGAAGAAGAAAATATTTGTTAATAATTATGTGGATAAAAATTGATAACTTCTAAGTTTGTCCGTTAATTTCTCAGGAAAAAAAGATTTTCAACGCAGTATCGTCGTATATTTAAAAGCGTGGGAAATCTTCTGGATAGATTCACGTGCAGACGGAATGGAGAACGCAAGAAGAAGAAGAAGAAGAAGAAGAAGACACACGTAATTCCTATCGTAAAACATAAATCATCGTAGGGATAGGATATAATATTTTACGAAAGCGATTACCATCAAATAAGGAAGATCGTTGATGATTTACCGTTTTCTAGCTTTGCTTGCGATCGTAAAACGAAACATCATTTCTCGTTCGGATCATATTCTACAATATCTACGCACGTATTACATGCACACGTATGTAACTTACGATCATCTAAGTAACACTCAAAGATTCCTTCCTTTTGAATAAACGTAATAACGTAAGAGACACGAATCGAGAATGGAAAGATATTTCGTATCTTTTTTTTCTTATTTTTCAATTATTTTTATAATATATTTTCTTGCAAATCTATACGCTGAGCATAAATTATCAAAGTTCTTTCCAATTAACGAGAACGTATCCAAGAAATATTTTCAATATAAATTTACATCGAATAAAACGTTAATATAAGTTTCAGGATCAGTTCTTTTATTTTGAAAGTCTGCCAGAAAAGTCGAAAATTTCATGAAATTTCGATGACCAAAATCTGACTACGAATTATTTTATTATAAATTTTTAATACAAACTCTTCCTACAGTTTATCTCGAATCGATATCATCTTAGCTAACAGTTGCTTTCTATTTTTCTTTTCTGTCTCTATAAATATAAATATTTAATATTTATTGGAAAAGATTCAAAAAAGGATTGAATAAAACAGTAAGATAAGTTCAACGATCTTTCGTTATCATCGTGTTTGTCGTATAACGCCAGGACCAAAATTGAACAAATCGATATATTTCAAATGGCTATGAGACTTACATGTAATCTAATCTCGTTTCATCAGCACGTTAATCCGATCAACCAGAGAAATGGCTAGGATAATATCGTCAATTCTTATTTTCTACAACGGAGCTATAAATAAAAACTATCGATCGAACTGCTACTGTCTATCGCCATATAGGAAACAGTTCTCGTTAATTCGCAGTTCTTTTTTAAGAGCTACGAATATAATTCGTGTATGAATGTGTGTGTGTGTGTGTATGTGTGTGTTTGTTTGTGTGTATAATAATTATACTACATTGTCGATAAACACGAACGTTGTTGCATGGTTTAACGAACGAGCTTCCATTTTTTTTGCAATTATATCGAAAACATTATTTCAAACAAATTTATTTTATTTCAACCCCATTTAGCAGCAACCGAGTAAAGAGATCGCAGAAGATCTAATGCTCTGTTATCGGACACCGTTGTTTCCGTTAACGAGTCAATAGTTTCTTGAGTTTCAGGATCGTCAGATCTTCTCGATAAAATTGACGGATTATCAGTAGTTGTTCGAAATTTTCTACCCTGTCTACTGCGGAATGTAGTAATCGAAGGTTCGGATGATCTAGGGGTTGTCGAAGATGTTCTAGAATCAGCACCGTTTGATCTCGATGACGATCGTCTACCGATAGGTAAATTTAATTTGTTAATACCAGCTACGATTTCGCGCGATTCTTCGCTAGAAAATCTGTTGACTGGCATCTTTAAAAGTGCATTCAACAATTGTTCTTTTTCTTCTTCCATGGTTTTGTTCATTGGTCCATTGCAATGATTGATCAATAGTAAAACTAATTGTCTAACAGTTTCGTTGGTATCTGCTTGTTTCATTACTCTCATCAATGTATCCGAACTACTCTCGTTAAGTTTACCAAAAATCCTTTTAGCCTTGACGACCTCGTTGTCGCTCGTGTTCGAAGGATTCGAACTTGTCGATGTGTAAGGTAACAAGGATACCAAAGCATTGTCTTGGGGTATGGTGTTGGTAGATGTAACAGAAGACGTTATTGTTGTTGTTATACTAGAACGGGTAGTATAAATCGGTGTTGGGGTTGCCGTGTTCTCGCCTGAGAACACACTAGGTAGTAGAGTAAACGTTGTCGGTGAGTCGTCGTTATTGGATGTCCATTGCCAAGGTGTTGAGATATCCTCGTTCGATGTTGACGATTTCGTAGCTTCTTCGAGTGTATTGATAGTCACAATTTTATTATCCTTGAGAGAATCCAAGGTACTACTGCGCGTTGGTTTCAATGTTGATAATGATTCGCTAGAAGTAAATTCTTTCGACGAAGGATTATCTTCCAAGCCGTGATTTATACGTTTAGGATCTATGAAAATGGTACTTTCCCAAAGTTGAGTCACCATAGGCGAAGACGTCCAATGATCATTGCTCAATATGCTCGAAGTAGTATTGTTCTGAATCGCATTATTGTTCGAAGCATTTCGAGTGACAGTAGTAACCTGAGAAAAATCATCAATGTCGGTCACCGTAGTTGTTATCGGATCGAGTCCAATTTGGTTCGAGGACGATATTGATGTCATCGCTGAACTCTCGGTCGTTGTTTTATCCGTTGGCTTAACATTACTTTCTACACGATTCTGTGTTCGAAAATTCTGATAGGAGCTACGAGCAGTTACAAGAGATTCATCTGGGATTCTTGAATCATAATAACGTATTCTGAAAGGGCTATTGCTAATCCTTTTAGGAGGTATCGATGTGGTAGAGCTTGGTATTATACTATTGGATACTTCGACTGCTGCTGAACCACCATTATTGTTGTTATCTTCCGGTTTGAAATAATGGGGCGTACCAAATCTTTCCGATTTGCTTCCTTGATAAGAATCCTGAGCATATTGTAAATAATAAGCTGGTGTCGATGAGGATACATAATTTTTATATATCGGTGTAATACCTGCCGGTTTAACATTTTTACCGTAAGTATCTGATCTAAACGTGGTTTCGTTCGAGCTATCGCCTGATTGATTTTCTGCAGATTTGTATTCCAGAGGAAAGTAATCGTCCTGAGATGATCCATTGGAGTCGCTTGTCTCGACGCTACTAATCGGTACACGATTGTCATTGCCGACATTGAAAGCATTGTTTACGACGTAAGCAAAGTTATTGTCAGCTGGGACTGTCGAAGATTCGTAATAATCGTTATTCGATAGATCGTTCAACGAAGATGTCGTTGTTTGATCTAAGGTATCCTCAAACGGAGTTATCGTTGTCGTGTAATAACTGTTTTGCGTTCTAGGAGGTAACCAAGTTGTCGTTTGATAACTGTTTTCTTCGAAAGATCGAATCGTATTACCGTTGGCAGAATGAGAGACACTGCTGACCGATCTAACTGGTGACAAAGTTGAATTATAAACGTCGCGTCGATATGTTTCAGGGAATGCAGTCGTGTAGAATTCACGGCGTGGAATCTGAACCGGTGCCAAGGTCGAACCATAGAAGTTACGTTGCGACAAATAAGGTTTATAGGTGGTACTCGTGATCACGATGGAAGAAGGTTGATACATGCTCGGATACACGCTCGTTGGCTTTCGCCTTCTCGATCCATTCACGTCTTCGGAGAAATCCAATACTTCATCTTTTTCCTTGGTAACCGATGGAAATTCTTCGGTTATCGTACTAGGATAAGAAGTGGTAGTTTCACTCTGATCACTTTCGGTAGTCCAGGTTGGTTCGGTTGGTCTTATATCAGTGAGTACCTTTTTGAACGTGTCGGGATCTTGCAAGTAGGCTGATAACGCGTGTGTGAATACTTGGGCAAGCTCACGTAACTTAGTTCCGTTTGTTTTATTTGCTCCGTTTACCGGGCCCTCGCTCTGTTGAAGATCCAAATCGTCGCTGGAATTTTCGTACTCGTTTGAATCTTCTTCTATTCTCGTATCGTTGATCTCGAGAGCGTTGTTCAATTTAAATAATTCAGCATAGGATTCGACGGTCTGTTGGGTGAGTATACTCTTGGGTAACTCAATAGAGGAATCATTATTTTTTTCTGTCGAGGATTCTTCCATTTCTTCTGGATGATTGGTAGTCGATTCGGTTGACTCCTTTGAAGCAAAATTTTCGCTAGCAGTGGCGAAATACAAAGCGAGAGAATGTAAAGTAGATGGTCCGGAGGCCGTCGAGAAGCTCGGACGAGAAATACCAGACGTGTTTACATCGTTTTCTAAGCCTTGAAGAGAATGTAACATATCCAATACGTGTTCTCTCTCGTTAGCAGGCCTGTTATCCAAAGCCGTACCGATCCTCAATGTCGATCGAGATTCCGGTAAGTAAGTAGAACTACTACTGCCTTTCAATTTGTTCGAGGAAGAGAAAAATTGTTTCGACTTGGATATCAAGTTTTTAGGATTGCGATAATTAGCCAAGGTAGAAGTTAAACTAGGTACTGTCGCTGTGTATACAGGTGGTTTAGTTGTTGTCGTTGTCGTTGTCGTTGTCGTCGTTGTTGGGGTAGTAGTCATGGAGGCCGAGGTACTGGAATGAATGTAATTCTTCGTGAACGGAATGTAGGGGCCTAAAGTCGACATAACTTTGCCTTGTTTGTACGTAAAACTAGTATCGTATGGACTCAAGGTCTTTCCAGTTTGCGAATACTGCTGAGTACTCCTCGATGCTTTTTCCGTTGAAGCGTTTATCGAATTGACATGATAACTCGGAGAATTTCTCGTAGGTTCTTTCGTACTGATTTTCAATTCTACCTCCGAATTCTCAAAATTTTGTCTTTCAAGAACGTCGTTTGAATAATCATTTGAAGCTGCCGTTGTTCCTAAATCTTCGGTGTATTCACGTGAATTGTCAGTGTTAATGTTAGATCTTGTTGTTGTATAACTCGATTCTTGATCACCCTCGATCACTTTATTTGTATTGTATTCATTATTACTTGGATAATAATCCGTAAATGTGGCTCGATTGGGATTACTCGAATCCACGTTTGTACGGTAAGTTGCCGGTGTTTCCGAGTTTTCCTGATAATTTCTATTTAATGCTGCTGTGGAAATGGATTCTGTACTGGTTTGATAATCCTCGTTTTCCAGACGATTAGTTGTGCTAACGATTTCACCACTATTACCACCATCAACACTAAAACCATACGATGTTTCCGTCGTATAAGGCTGCCTATAGTAATCCGTACTATCCAAGGTCTTTTCGGTTGTTGTAGTATACTGCAATGTTGTCTCGCGACTCGGTATAGTGGTCGTTCGTGGTTTGTAAATCGGTGCGAATGTTGGGCCAGGGAATGGTGGTATACTAAATCTAGTTCTTATCAAAGCTGGACTACTACTTTTTTCTTTAATCGATGCTGGATCCTTCGTAGTTGTTTCTTGATTGTTGTTGTTGTACGGTTGATAATAAAATTGACGATTGGCAGCATTGTTATTGTAATAATTGCCACGATTGGAAACGAAAGCAGCACTCTCGGCAAATTGTTGAAATTCTTTAACAGGACTCGAAGTGGTTGTCCTAAAAGTTGTCGTTTCCATATAAGCCGGTGTGGCTTTTTGAGTAGGCGAATTCAAATTATTCAAATTTCGTGCATAATTTCCCCTCGCTTTGGGATTTCTACTGTTAGGTCTTTCGTTTCGAGCTACGTTTTGTGTACCAGCTGATCCATAATAATCCTGGGAATTGTTAGATTGATCTTGATTGTCTTGAGAGCTTTCCTGAAACTTCTCCTCGTAACTTGGATTATATTGATTGTATTTACCATTCTGAGTGTCTAACAATTGATTCTGTTGTCTGTTTATCGTTCGATAATTAAATGCTGGTCCTTGTTTGCTTTTGATATTGAAATTGTCCTCGAAATCTTGTTCGTTGCTTTGAAAATTATTCGAATTTGAGTTCTGTGCAAATTGACTGGCAGATCTGCCGTTCGATTGATCGAAAACATTGTTCTGTTTAAATTGAGATTTAAAACTATCAGCATTGTCTTGAATTTGATTAGGTCTTACGGATTGACCGAAAGGATTCGTTCGCCCGTTTTGTCTGCCATCGTAATTGTCTTGACCTTGATGATAATCGAGTCCATCGTGATCTACGGTACGATGGAATTCGGATTTCATTTTTTTGTCTTCCGTACGTTTTCTTTCTTCCTCGGCTAGCTGTTCGGCACTCTGTTCGTAAAGTTCGGTCGACTTGCTGCAATCTACTTTGAACCACCAATCGCAGATCAATTGCGATTGCTGGAAGATGGTACCGTTGGGACAGAGAAACGATATCTTTCGTCCGTTGTCGCAGATGTGAAAAACCTAGAAAAAACGTTTGAATTCTCATTAATTTATAATCTATTTTTTTTTTGAATAAATTAAATTAAAAAAAAAAGGTAAAAATATATATTAAAAATCGTCGATCACTTGTTTGTGATATGCAACGTACTTGACAATTTGTTTCCAAATCAGCATAGTAACCACCTTTCAGACCACGACAACTGAACGAAGTTGCTGGGATTGTCGTAAAGGTTGGAAAGTCGACACCTGGTTGTCCGGATACACCTAAATAACACACACAACAAAATCAATGAACGTTTTTTATTACAACGTGTCGTAGAGAAATGTGAGTTCTACGAAATGGATTTTTTTCCGAATGAACGAGATTGGATTAGAATGTAATTAATATAAAAAAAAAAAAAAGGAAAGTAACATGCAAGGAGGATAAAATGTGGATTTTTCGAAATACCCGCTCCCTTGAGCCACTCCTTAAGAAGATCCTCGTTCCCAAAGAAGACTAGGAAAAGAAATTTATTTTAGTGTAGTGTAATAATGTAATACGCGCGTATTAGATTTGTTAATCAGGATTGTTAATGGGATTGACTATGGTTAAAACCTTGATAGACTTGGTACTCGCCATTCTTCTCCGGTGCTAATCTTTTAGCTATTTTTTTTAAGGCTTCGACATCTTCCTCGGAAGCCTCGAGGCTTGCCAAGTCCAATTCCGAGAGGAACTCCGGTAATCTCGCTTTTTCATTGTCCTGCGATTCCTACAAAATAATATAATGAACTTTATTTTTTTAGAAAAATTATTAATATAATCTATTATATATTATACACAATCTGTTTATGTTATATATTTATATTGATAAATTTATCATTAATAACAAATAATATTAAGTTTATCTTGTTATAAATTTTACCACGGTTTGCTAAATTCAAACACGAAAACATGTTGATATTATGTTTGCATATTTCAAAACTATTTAAACAATATAAACATGCAATGGAATAAAATAACATATAAAAATAATTCAATTCTAATGGAATATCGAAAATAATAAAAAAAAAAAAAAAAAAAAAAAAAACATGTTAAATAATCGATAATTGAGATTAACAGGGTGTTGTTATGTCTTTGAATATTTGTCTCTCTTCGAAAGTAAAGAAACAATTAAAAAGAGATTGTTGGTAGAGAGCTAATTGATCGTAAAGACAAACGAGGTCAACGTCATCTCAGGGAAGGGAAACGGGATAAACGATAAATGGTGTTACGCAAACAAGTAAAGAACAGCATGTCCTATCGTATATTCTTGTGTTTCACCCTTGCATGCCGTAAACTACACCAGGAAATGATGGTAGGTGTTACTTCCTCCAAGAGGAGATACAACATCCTCCTCTTTTCCTCTGTTCTTTCTCTCACGCGAGGTGTGACTCCTATTTAAAATAGTGCATCAACTAGTTCTTAGAATCCCGTACTAACTACTTCTATCATCATCACCTTTCTTGTTCCTGGATTTATACGATACGAGCAAACGTAACAATGATAATTAACTATACTACATTATCATCTATACAAACTTTCCCATTTTCTTCTCTTTGTTCTCTTTTTTTTTATTTTTTCTTTTTTTTTTTTTTACTCTCGAAAGTTTAGTGAAAGTCAATCTTCTTATTTTTTTTCTCATTCGTCGAATTTTTCTCTTCGACGGTGTTCGTTTAATTAAAATATATTGTAGATATTATCGAATGAAATGGGGAAAATATTTTTTTTAATCAAATTATCTATCTTAATATTAATTAATTTAGTTTTTCTTTTTTTTTTTTTTAATAATAATAATTTACAATTGGCTTTGTCAAGCCAATAAGAAAATCTGACAAACGTAATAACGTTTGTGCGTGTATGACACTTCTTTTTTCATTACGGATCGTATATGGGTTGTTAAAAACGAAAAATATATTTTTTCATTTCTTTTTTAGATATCTTATAAAAATTGCTTGCTTTATTTTGGTTAAAAGTTATTTTATACACATACGTATATATAATCCAATTAAATATAAATATATTAAATAAATATAATTTGTAAAATTCGAAAAGATTACTCGTCGTTGTAATTTCGTTGGATGATATGAAACTTCGTATGTTATAAATAATTAAATGAATAAATGTTGGGCGATAGTTAATATATAAATAAAATATATGTAAATTGAAATGTTTAAATGAAACACCACACACACGTTGTAGAGAAATTCAGTACCGTGAGAAACGTAATAAAGTAGCGGTCATTGATACGCAAAGGGGGAGTTTTCAATTTTCTGTAACACACTACTACTCGAGCTCCTTTTATCCGATAATTGAGTTTTGTTTCAGAGTGAATAGATCAGCGTAATACGACACGACTTCTCGAGGAAACAAATATCGGCGTATCGATCATGTTCTTCATTCTTTCTTTTCTTTTTATTACAACAGACTTTTGTGTCTTCTTTCTTTCTTTTATTTCTTTTTTCTTTTATTTCTCAATTTCATCCGAAAATTTTCAAATATAGTATTCAAAAATTCATTCGATCTTATTATAAATCATTTTAGATATTTGACAAATATTTTGTCTCTTGTTTTTAAAATTTCAAAAATAACAAATAGAAATTATTTTTCATTATTGTTTTTTTTTGTTTTGTACAAAAAAGGTCAATGACCGAATATTTCTCTTATAATTTTTTTCTTCTAATCTATTGGGAGTATATTTTTCTTTTTTTTTGGAATTACTATTGTATTAATTACAATTTATAAAACAAAATAATTTTTTTTTAATATTTATGGCAACAATTGTTAAATAAACAAAGAGATACGGATAAACTATAATGATTATAAAATAAAAATATTCAGAAATTCTTTATCTCCTTTTTACGAGGTTCGTAAAAAAAAAAAAAAAAAAAATACCATTCGTTTAATTTTTGTTCGTTAGGGGAAAAGTAGAAACAAAAATCATGGATCATAACGTTCGATCAAATAAATTTTCTTTTTATATTT